TTTAATTTTTTAACAAAATTACTTTTTGAATTATCCTTGTCCGAAAATTATAAAGGGTGCTGTATTCACCTTAATTAATTTAATGTTTGAGCAGGGTATCTGCCCCTCACAATTTAAAGTGGCTGTTATTAAACATATATTTAAAAAAAAGGAAAAAAACAAAGCTGAAAATTATAGACTTACAAGCCTAATTTTTAACGTGGCAAAAATATTTGAAAAAACATTTAAAACTAAAATTAGCAAATTTGTTAAGTAACTTGCAATTCGGGTTCAGAGAACAAAGATCAACTAATGATGCCATAGATATGTAACTAAAAAAAATCCGAAAGCCTAGAGGACACTAAGAAGTGTGCATATCTATATTTACTGACTTCTGTCAAAATTATATAATATTGGAATCCGAGGGAATGCACATACGCTACTAGAAAACTATCTTACAAATAGGATTAGATTAGATTAGGAGTTGGACGTTATTTGTCCTTGTCCACCGCGACCTTTTCAGATCTATTGTGGGACTCCGTTTGTTTTAGAGTATGTCGTCTAGCCTGGTCTTTTTTATTAGACTTAGTAGCTTTGACAGTGGCTCCCGCATGTAGTTGCATGCAATTGGCTTTTCTTCGCCCAATGTTAGAAACCTCATTCCAGCCAAGCCTTCACATTGGCACAGGACGTGGAATGATGTTTCCTCTTCTTCTTCACAGAACCTGCACAAAGTTGCTTCTTCTGCTGGATTTATGACACTCATGTGCCTTTTGAGGCGACAGTGTCCAGTAAGAAGGCCTACTGTTATCCTAACGATTTGACGTTTTTGATCCAGTAGGTCTTTCGTAAACTTGGCCGATGGTTCCTTGATGAACTGTTTGGCCTGTCTCAGTCTTGGATGCGCTTTATGAATTCATACTGTATGTCAGCACGCTAAGGTGTTAAAATGCAAGAGGAATTAAATGCATATTTTTCCAAAATTCTTTAAAAAATACTACCTCGTGCTAGCGCAAAAATCACGTAGGGATTTATAAACCAATACGCGCGTGTGAACCCTATAATTACTACGCGTGTTGTCACCTGGTATGATTTTAAGTAGGCTTCTGCTCTTCCTATAGGTGGATTTCATACTGCATGGCAACACGAGAGTCGATCCGCACGAAACTTTAAAATGTTTACAGATTAGTGGAAACGTTTAAGCAAAATCTAAGTTCTGGTGGTTTAAAAGCAACGAATTCACTTACCAATCACTTAAAAAAAATCGTTTCGTCAAATCAAGCTGTCGATTTAATTCTTAATAAAATGACGTTTAGAAGAAGTAGGAAAACAAAAGTACAACCAACAGCAATCAGTCAAAGAAAACATACATCTGCAGGAGCAAAAAACAAGATATCGGGTTGAGCGAGGAAGAATTTTTAAAAAAGGAACCACTCACTAATAAGCAATATTGACAGTAATGTGCCAAATGCTATAAAATAAATTTATTTTCTTAATACATTTAGTTTTTCATTTGATCAAGAGAAAACTAACATATAAAAAAAATTAAGTTATTGTATTTAAAATACTTTCTAATAATCAGACCTATTGTAAAAACAACTCAATATATAGAATAGCAGTAGCAAGAATTAACTCATTTTTTACTTGTAAACCAGACTACAAAATAATAACAAAACTATTCAACTCTGTCATTCAAAAATAATTACAATTTTATCAGCAGGTAGGATTTTATCTGCTTTTACGCCTTAGTACGCTCATGAATTCCTCCTGGACTGCAGCACACAATTCACGTATAGTTTAAAGTGACATAGAGCGGGCATGATATTCAGATTTCCTACCGTGTTTCAGTGCTATGAATGTGCTGACATACAGTAGGAAGTCATAAACCGCGTCTTGGATAGTTGTTCCACCATTCCTGAGACTCTTTTTGCATCCATTGTTTAATGGATGCCTTGCACAGTGCCTTAGCGACTCCACAAAAGGGTTCAGGGCCTGTCATGGCCTTATCTGAGCCTTCTCGGGCTAATTCGTCGGCCTTTTCGTTGCCCTGATGTCCCTCATGGCCTGGAACCCAGGCTAAGGTCACCTTATTTTGACTACTTAGCTCTGTCAGGTCTTCTAGACAGTCTTTCACCAGTACAAATAGGATGCAATTGGTAGAGATAAATTGTCATAGGAGTACAACCAAAGAAGCCACATATGGTGTCCCGCAAGGAACCGTATTGGGACCTATCTTATTTATTTTATATATGAATGAACTACCTGTTACGTAAAATTAATTTTAAATTTATTTTTAACAACTTCTCCATAACCCCTCGTAACAAAATTTAAACGACAACCGCTCGCTTCTCTAGATTTACAAAGTAAGCCTTGCGCGCATCGGTTCTTCTACACTCACGCTGGGGAACTATAAAACCGGCTAGCGTTGTTTAAACAAGCCCCTTTTGTCTATCATGGTAGTGTTGTGTTGTGTCGACAAATCTACTAGTTTGTAGTTATTATGAGTAGATTTAGATAATTATCGTGTCTTTCGTATGTACTTATGTGCTATCGTTGTGGTAATTGTCAGGTAATGTTTTTTTCAACTAATATTTTAACGCTTTGCTGGATTTAGTCGGAAGGCCGAAGGGTCGGCCATTTGCTTTTTTTATTACCAACATGCCGACGAATACCGGTTATTATTATTGTTTTATTTTATATAGATTATAGCTACCCTACCTAATAATATTTTTTAACTTTCTTTAATATATACGCGGAGAGGCAATTAAATAATTGAATTTAAAGTCAGTCTAGAAATACAGTTTAAACGGAAATATATGGCTCTTAACTTATTTTGGCCTTATAAATAGTTTATATTTTGTTCAGATGACGTAAAACTTATTGATATAACTTATTTTGGCCCTATCAATATTTTATATTCTGTTCAGATGATGTAACTTTAATATTTGTCCCGTTTATGCATAAGTTCGTTAGATTTACAAACTGGCCTGTAGATGTAGTATTCCTGTTAATGAGGTTCTTTTTATATCTAAACCTGTAGTGGCTCCAAGCTGCAAGTAACGTAGCTTCTCCAAGCTACAAGTAACGTAGCTTCTCCAAACAAGCTACAAGTAACGTAGCTTCTCCAAACAAGCTCCAAGTTACGTAGCTCCTCCAAACTTCAAGCTCCAAGCTACGTAGCTCCTCCAAACTTCAAGTAACGTAGCTTCTCCAAACAAGCTCCAAGTTACGTAGCTTCTCCAAACTCCAAGCTTCCAAGTAAATTTCGATGAACCTCCCAAGCAATTTTCGACGAAGCTCCGAAGTAGTTTTCACGTAGCTTACAAGCTTTAAGTACCGCTGTGTAATGCCACATGGTGGAAACAAAGAAAACAATTTTTATTAATATTCAAGTTCATTCAAATCCCCAATTCCCTCTTCGAAATTATGAAAAATACACCACATATCCCCAAAGTGAAAACACACCAAAGAAAAATTGAAAAAGCTGAGAATCAAAGAAAGAAAAATGAGATATCGACTAGGGATCGAAACTGGAACCTTCTGACTGTGGCCGTCCATGGTCTTACCAATTGAACTATCGAGGCACACGAATTTCGACATCAGAACTGATAATTTGAAATCAATCAGATTCCGACTCTCGTCGGCGCAAACACAAATTCTAATCTCATCCCAGCTATCTCAATTATTCTTAATGCCACCCTTGTGACATCGGGTAGAAAAGGCGATAATCTAATTATACTAAGCTTCATTTATTTTGAACAGTTTATTAATTTATCTTATTTACTTAATACTCTTATACCCAAATCCAGACCCGTCTTGAAATTTTTAGGAAGCACTTACACCATTTCTTACACTAACCAATTTAGTGCCATTTTCTATTTTCTCTTTAGGAGTCTCGCCACAACTCAAGAACTTTTAGAATGAATGATTCAGTGCGAGTAATTGCAGCCATAGGCGTCCCTATAGAGGGGGATTCAGGGTTGACTTATTTTATCGAATATTATTAAAAATCATGAAAGTCGAGGCCGTAAGATGTCCAAATAAGGCAGAGAGGGACTTAAGGGATTAAAGCATACCCGAAGTAGTGCAAAATGACTCGCACGGTAGTATTTAGCTGAAATTTATTACAATAGATAAGTAACTAGTTTTAATGACCTAAAGAGCTTTTTAAAATTAGTAAATTAAGTAGCAATATGTATTAATGTATATCAATAACATAAAGTGAACACATTCAAAATTATACCGATTTAAATACATTACAAAAACAATTTTTTACAAGATAAAAGTATAATAATAAATCATTTTTATAATCTAGGTGAGTATTTTGGAGTTTATTTAAGAGACAAGCCATTAGAAATGATTTCTAACAGCAATTTCTCTCAGTATGGGGAAATTAATAACTTTCAACGCAAGTAAGCAGTGAGAAAAATAAAACTTTCTATAGCAATCTCAGAAAAGAGACCTTCATTTTCTCCAAATCAACATGCTTAGGGTTGATAAACGTCCCGCATTTTCACTTGCTGACACGACGCGTTATGCCAAAGTAGGAAAGTGTCACGCTTTTGACCTAAATGCCACGCTTTTTACTCAAAATCCACGATTTATACTCAAATGCCACGATTTATACTCAAATGCCACGCTTTTTTACTCAACTTAAACGCTTTTTTACTCCAATGCCACGATTTTTCCTCAAATGTCACGCTTTTTAAATCCAAAGACCTTTTCTTTCGAGAAAAAGGACCTGGTTTATAAAAATATAAGCGGGTCACTTTTTTTAGATCTCCACAAAAAAAGGACCTGCTTTTATAAAATACCTGCTTTTTTAACCTGATCCCCTGTTGTCCCGCTTTTCCCTTTCGTAAATCTGACAACACCCTACACATGCTGGTCCGAATACCCAAGTGTCATCGTATCCAATAAAGTTAGAGCTATGTGAACCCGGAGAATGACCGTCAAAACCCGCAGTTACCGGGTCAAAATAACTGTCTAAAGTCAAGTATGTATAGAAAAAAGAGACTTACCTATTTTTCCATTGGGACTGTACGGGTCATAACTTCCAGAAGACATCGGCGAGGAATATCCATTACTGATGACCGTATAGGCTTGCGAGGGCGGTCCGGGGGACGGCGTCAACGGCGGCGCGTTGTTGCCGCTCATCGTACCCGGACTCGGCGAACTCAAAAAGTCTTCGGTGCGCGTCTGCCGATTTTTGGGCGGTTGAACGACGGCGTTCGCGAAAGCACTGAACGCGCCTGCGCCATTACTGGACACCACGATTCCGTTGGACTGAGATAAGGCCGACGAGGTGCCCACCAGCCCGTTGCTGGAGCCGGAGAGGAGGCTGCCTACGGTTATAGTACCTGTAACAACGGAATAAAACTATCTTTAGATTAAGTTCTTTTACCAGTTAATAATTAAAAATTTTCAAAAAGGTCAATGTTTATATTTTAAATTTTTGGTCAAAACTAAACTAAAAATACTCTAAAATATGAGAAATTAGCATTTTGTGTGTGTAACGACTTTAAAACAGAAAAGGTTTGCCATTAATAAAAATGCATAGATACGCCACTGGTGTAATTTGGGACGATTTTAATGAGAATTCTGAAACTTAATACATACATACTAACAGTCCCATTGAACGGTGTAAACGTGGTAGTTAATAAATAGATCATATACCAAACAAGGTTTTTATTTATACGATAGCGTCGTTTGGACCATGTGTCTAATAATGAAGATTTGATGGAATAGTATGATTCTAGGACATTAAAAATTGTGTCTAAAAGAGTGATATTACCACATTTTGAGTATAAAATTAAGAGAGTTCAGCCGACAATGTTATGGTTTATACATTTAATGCTAAAGAGAATACTAAACGTCAAATAAAATAAATATATAGAGAAATATTTCAAGTTAGCACCATATCTGAAAAATAGGTGTGTAAGATATTGTGCAAAAAGTCAAATGTTTTAACGATAGCCTAAAATGAAAATTGAGACAACAAATGAATGCTTCCTATTAATGAATATCAGTCATATTAATTAATTTATTCAAAAATAATTTGCATCATTGATCAGAACGAAAGTTGCAATAGTCATGGGTATTAATGAGGCTGAAGCTAGCAGACAAACTAGCAGACAAACCGCCCGGCGGTCCCCAAATGTTTTGATGTTGTTATTCGGCAAAATCTTTGGTTTAGGTGGACTTTAGTATGATGAAAGTTTAGAAATAAATAAATATTAGTGTATTTATTGAAAAAAATGGATTAATTCAATTTGAATTATTAATTAAAATAAGATAATCTTACACAAAGACGGGGAAGAAACAAACACATTTACAATGCGATTATAAATATAATTTTTATACCAAATATTCATTAAGTTTTTGTTAATTGAATAAACAAAAAATTAGGGCCGAACAATGATTTAAAATATATTTTTTTGGTCTTTTTAAAGTCAGGTGTTTTGTCGTCAAACGACTATAAGAATTAAGAGTCCAAAAAAAAACACATTTAGCACGAGATTTCAAATACAATTTTTATACCAATAATTTAGTACACCACAAGCTATAAAATAAATAAAAAATCATTAAATAGCAAGACCTCTAATTACATTTTTTAGATCTTTAACAATGCGTGGTTTCGCGGAAAAACATTATTCTACCAAAATATCAAAAACCAATATTTAGCACGAAATTCTAGATATAATTTTTAATACGAATGATTCAATAGATTAGTATAATTCAAAAATACAATAAATCATTACATAGCAAGACCTCCAAATATGTTTTTTAGGTCTTTAAAATGGCGCGATTTCGCGGATAAACGTTACTTTATCAAAATGACAAAAACCAATATTTAGCACGAAAATTCAGATAAAATTTTTCATACTAAAAAGTATACCTGGATTTTCGTGCTAAATATTAGGCAATCCAACGACCTGTCAAATAAATTCAATATGGCGCTTGGTTGGCACACAAACTGAACGTCAGTATTGTTTACTTTTGTAAATCATACATTTTGGAATCTTTTTTGAAGTGATTTAGGTATAATTTCGATTAGTTTTTTTAATAAATAGTGTAAATTTAGTTTAATTTTGAAAGAAATGCCTGTAACCTGCCTTGTGGTTAATTGTGGAAGCCGTGCTGATCGGGATGTGTTTGGTTATTTTCTGGTCCCTACGTTGAAAAACTCTGTGCATTACCCACATATTAATACTTTATCAAGGAGAAGAAGGGAAATGTGGATAGCAGCTATAAAGAGGGACGATCTAACTGAATCGATTTACCTTTATTGATCTATTTTAAATTGTTTCTGTGTATTTTAAGGGTGATTTTAATTTAGTTTTTTGTTTTAAGGATACACTTTAAATTGTTTATTGTAATTATATTTTATAAACTTATTGTATATTTTGCTATTGTGTATTCTCTTTCTGTATTTGGTTTTTTTTTATAAACTTATTGTTGTATATATATTGTAATTTGCTATTGTACCTTGTACTTGTATTTTAGAATTTTATATAAAACTTAAACTTACTGATCTATATTTGTAAATTTGAATAAATATTTCTTTGTATATTGTGTCAATTTTATTTGTTATTGTAATTTGGTACTCAATTGAGTATGCAACTTTAAGCTGGACTTCTCCGAGGATATTAGATATAATCAAAGACCTTTTAAATATATATGTATATATATTTTAATATAAAGTAATGTTAAAAGAAACAAGATCAACTTTTTGCTTGTTTTAAAAATAATGACAAAGTTTTGATTTTTTACATTATCCTGTAATTGGGCCACTGGTCTATTTCGATAATTAAGGATTTTTTTTTATTAATAGTTCAATAAATAAAATAAAAGTCAAACTTACTACACTTAATTTATTAACAATTAAATTAAAAATATAACAAAAATATTTTTTTGTAAATATACTCAACCGCAAAATTAACTGGACATGAGTCAAAATAATTATTTCAATTAATGTCTAATATATATTTTTCACAAAATAAACTAAAACTTGTTTTCATACCATCAAAAATCGAGGAAAAAACTTTACAGGACGAAAATCAAATGTCCAGATAATTTTGCGGATAGCATATACTTTTAATAAGCGACAGAGAACGCGATTCTTTATTTGTCCTGCAAACAGCTTTCAGTTTTGAAGCAGTTATTCTTCCTGCTCTTTGTAAAAACCAATTATTAGTTGCATGTTGTCCTTGGGTATACTGCTCAATTAATGATATTTGCTCTGCAGTCAAAGACATTACAATTTTTCTTGAGATTTCCATTAATTCAATATAATTTTTAGAAATATATATTTCTTGAAAAATATCTAATATGTTTGGTAATGTTACTTCTGAGGCTGCCTGCAGTTTGCTTCCAAATGGTTCCACTATCCTCATGAGGCTAGCAGTACGAGACAAACTTTCAACCCTTTTTAATAAATTTACTACACCTTCTTTAGACATCGTAGGTACAGTTCTGCGTTGTTGTACAGAAGCCACTGTACCAAAGTCCATTTTGGCTATTGGGACAATAGGCACTGCTGTAGACAGTAATGGCATGGGCCACAAAGCAGCTACATCTACACAGGAAACGGTACTTTTATTTCTGTTTGCATATTCAGCCGCAAATAGCAAAGCACCAACATGGCTACATACTTCGCTATTACCTGCCATACATGTACAGTGACCACTTGAAATCGAACCATCACTAGTGATAATACACCAAGCCTCAAGGGGTTTAGCGTTGGCTCTTTGAGAATGTTTGACCTAAAAAAAGAAAATGTGTAAAAAACATTACTAACTACATTAATATACATTTTGCAATGTAAAACATTTATGTGAAGTAGATCATGAAAAACATAAAAAAATTAGGTACCTTTCCAACCATGACATAAAATTCATTCAAAATCCTTTTTCCTACTTTTAGGACAAAACCTGCTGAAAAATATTTATGAGCATCAAGGGATTTTTAGGCTTTCATCTGCTCATGAGTGTAAAAACTGTGAGTCAATACTATATGTGAAAATATATCGGGATATGTGACTGGTGGAATGCCATTAACACTGTAGTCTAAATCGGAAGTTGAAAATGTGAAAGGGTCCAAATTCTTAATCAATGTCAGCTTCAATAGATACCTACGAAAAAATTATATTAGTTTCAAGCATAAAAGTTTGCTGATTAACTAAGAAAAATGCATAAAATAAGGGTAAAAATTCTCATATTTACCTCTGACCAACGTCTGGGTTTTCTTGCAATAATGTCTTAAAATATGAACTTTGCATATTGAATTATCGTAAATATTCAATTTAACTTCTCCAAACAACTAATAACGATTTCCAAATTTATCAAAGGATCCAATAAAAACAATAAAACTTTCAAACTGTAGCAGAACACAATGTAAACCATAGGAACTTTTAACAATGTCTGCCAACCAAGCGCCATCTTGACAGTTAAAATGTCACGTGGTTTGGATTGCCTAATTGGTTTTTGTCATTTTAATAAAGTAAGGTTATTTCGCGGAACCGCGCTTTTCAAAAGACCTAGAAAACGTATTTACTGGTCTTGCTATGTAATGATTTATTATTTTTTGAATTATAATAATGTATTGAATCATTCATACTAAAAATTATACCTGGATTTTCGTGCTAAAGATTGGTTTTTGTCATTTTGATAAAGTAATGTTTATCCGCGGAATCGCGCCATTTTAAACACTTAAAAAACATATTTGGAGGTCTTGCTATGTAATGATTTATTATTTTTTTGTATTGTAATAATGTATTGAATCATTCATACTAAAAATTATACCTGGATTTTCGTGCTAAATATTTGTTCTTGATATTTTGGTAGAATAATGTTTTTATGCGAAACCACGCATTTTTAAAGATCTAAAAAATGTAATTAGAGATCTTGCTATTTAATGATTTTTTATTTATTTTATAGAAAATTGTATTTGTAATCTCGTGCTAAATGGGTTTTTTGGCCTCTCCAATTCTTATAGTCGTTTGACGACAAAACACCTGACTTTAAAAAGACCAAAAAAATATATTTTAAATCATTGTTCGGCCATAATTTTTTGTTTATTTAATTAACAAAAACTTAATGAATAGTTGGTATAAAAATTATATTTATAATCGCATTGTAAATGTGTTTGTTTCTTCCCCGTCTTTGTGTAAGATTATCTTATTTTAATTAATAATTCAAATTGAAATAATCCATTTTTTTCAATAAATACTCTAATATTTATTTATTTCTAAACTTTCATGATACTAAAGTCCACCTAAACCAAAGATTTTGCCGAATAACAACATCAAAACATTTGGGGACCGCCGCGCGGTTTGTCTGCTAGTTTGTCTGCTAGCTTCAGCCTCATATGGGTATTATCATATCATAATTATTAATTTTTGTATGTATAAACAATAATTAAACATGTGTATAAACATGTTTCCTATTAATGAATGTGAGTCATATTAATTGATTAGTACATATTTTTATAGATATATTAATAAAGTAAGTACTTTACTTATATTGTTTTAGATTATTTTTAACAATAGATGATATTATTAAGGATTTAATTATTATTGTAAAAATCCAAGATTCAAGGCTCACATTCAAAAAACATTTTTAATTTCAAATTTGACCAATATTAAATTATTTCCAAAATAGTCGTACATTACCAAACGTAGAATTTTCTAATAAAATATATTTTCCACTACTCTGTAAATAGAGCAATATTAGATGCATTTAAATCTCATAAATTTTGTTGTTAAAAATGAAAAAGTTTAAAATTTCAAAACAATAAAATTTTGTAGACAAATTTTACAATTTCACCCAATACAACTCATTTTAGTAGTTTTTTTTTATAAAATCCGCCTCTCATTATTTGCTGTTTTAAACTATAATTAAATTGAACTATCAAATATGTCAACATTACTTAACAGGACCTCTTAACAATCAGACTTTATTAGCTGTTTAAACAGTTCATATACCAAACGAGATTTTTAGTTATACATTAGCATCGTTTGGACCATAAGTGTTTAATAATGAAGATTCTTACCGTTTGTGGGCGAGTAGAGCTGGGGCTCGGATTTAACGAGTAACACGTCATCGTCTCTGTAGATCATCTCGGGTTTGATGTCCATGCTGCCCAGAACGCTGACGGTGGGGAAGATGGCGGTCATAGAAAGGGGTTAGGGGCGCGGCGACCAAGGCTGCCGCGACATACTATCACAATCTGTAACAAACAAAACAACCATTAGTTTCAACAAGCACAATAGTACAAGACAAGATGTACAAAAAATAGTTGCTATTAATTACACAGTGTACATTGTTTTGTGGAATATAATAATGATTATAGTTATTATTTTCAAATATTGGAATGTTAATAAAAAAATAAACTTCATGAGGTAAAAAAAGGAATAAGATTATGGATAAACAATGGATGTTTCAATCTATAATATGTTTAATGAATAAATTACAAGAAAGGTATTGGCTTTCCGTTGAATTTTGGTTACATTGTATTACTTGTCGTCTGAATCAAATATGTCCATGAACCGGCCCACTTAAATCCCATAGCTAGTTTTAAGATACAGGATGTTAAAATTAAACTATTTCTAATTTTTGTAATAATCTTATACTTAATAAACGATTAAATTAATATTTTTGGTAGCTTGTACTGTTAATATGTTCTAATGTAATAGAAACTTACGTATACGTTGTTCAAAACTTTTACGTATATAGGGTGGTGCGAAATTATGTAAAATAAACTTTTCTAAATTTTGAGATATTGTAATTTGAAATAAAAGCAAAGGTAAATATAAAATGCTAAAGTAATAAATTAAAAAACAATAATCATACACATTATGTGTATTCCAAATATTACTACAGATACAAAGATTTTTTAAAAAAGTTTCAAATTACCCCTTTGTATAATGGAAATAATTTTAGATATTTGCAATATATTTATTACCAAGACTTTAATATTTTATAGAATACAGGGTGATTTATTCGTCTGTTTCGGTATTTCCATGGAAATATAAAAAAATATACTTCTTTATTATGCTTACTGTATTTTTTTAATTCGTTTCGTCAAAAATGATATATTTTTTAAATTAACTTAATAATAATTTAACAACCTGATATATTTTTATAGTTATTTTACTATGGCCAGTATGGCTAGTTTAGGGTTAAGATAAAAAATATTTTGGCGAAAGCTTCATATCAATTTAAAATTATATTTATTTTAAAAAATATTTCAAATAGATATTTCATTTTTTAAATGTCAATAACATGTTTTATATTAAATTACTACCGAGACTATATCCCTATAAATAATCCTAATTAGTGACATATTTTGTAAAATTCCAAGCCCTCTTAAACGAATCCCTTGTTGCGAATTTGAAATACGAACAAAAAAAGGGTCGTAAAAAAGGATTAGGGATTAAGGGTCCATTTAATTCGATTTCGACAGTGCCATCTTTGTTCTAAAATACGAGAACATTCCGGCCGCAAAGTGTTCATTGATAACAGACGGCGAGTTTTTAATCCCCACTGTTAAACCCTTTACAAAGTTATAATTGCCCACAAAATGGTTTATCAGATATAATTCGATTCACAAAGGGCGTTTTAAATGATGACAAAATTATAATTACCATATTTTTGATTTAGTTATGTACGTGGAAACTAGAGGTGGGCAAAATAATCGATTAATCGATTATCACTCGATTAGCAATCGATTATAAATCGATTATTAATTAATTAATTATTAATTGGTTATTAAGAATTGATTCATTAATAATTGATTACTAATGGATTATTAATTGGTTATTAAGAATTGATTAAGAATTTATTATTAATTGACTTTATTAATCGATTATTAATCGATTATTAAACGATTATTAATCGATTATTAATTAATTATTAATAGTCGATTATTAATACAATAATAAATATAACTAACCACAGTTATCAGCATCGTCATTTTGGCTTAATATTTAAATACAATTTTTAAAGGTGACAAACTTGTACTCCAGTTTTCAATGTATAAATGAAGATGAAGGTAACCAAATGTTGCTATGAATTATTTATTAAAAGGAGGGCAAAATATGAGATGTCCTCGAGAGAAATAAGAAATCGAAACAGGTCAACAACAAACTACGTAATCTGTTTCTGATACCTGCTGTGGAAGAAAACTCCAGGAGATGTTGATTAACTGATAGCAATAAAGGAAAAATATTCACCAGTTGCTATTGACAAACGGTTTGATAGAATATTAAATTGATTACATATAAAAATATACAGGATGTTCCAGGTACGTAGTTATTATATTTTAAAGATCATTCCATATAAAAAGAAGATAATTATACGTATATTGTCACCTATTTTACGGCGACAGAAGTTTCATTAAAGGTTTAACTTTTCTTTTTTGATACTGGAGGTTCCTCTTTTAGTCATACCCCATTTTCAGATCTCTTCAAGATTTCCTCCTCTTTATTTGGAATATCCCTTCATGTTAGAGACAAGTTATTGTAACACCATAGTGGTAGGTATCCGAGATGATGTTACTGACCAAGCATTTGCCTACTTCTATAAGAAAACCTTAGAAAAAACTCGAGGAGGCAGTGGGAATCGAACCCATTACCTTCCGAATGCGAAACAAATGCATTACCGCAAAGCTACAACGCTCTTTTCATTTTATACCAAAATTTTGCCATCATTGTTCCGAAACATTCATAGCAACGTAATTTAAGACATAAAAATCCCTAAACTTTTGAATTATTCAAAGCGTCTAGTCAATTTTTTTGTACGAAATGTTCATCACGCGCACCACTCCATTTACATACATTTCGCATCCGAATCATCAACGTCAAAAATAGCACTCCAATTCCCTCCATTCCAGTTCAGAACCCCAATGCGTACATAATGTTATGTTGTGTCTGGCTCTATTGATCCCGTCGCCACCGCCTGCCAAGCCAATGCCGCCTCGAACATCGCAATTCGCCGTTGATGCCGCCAAAAAACCGCCTCTCTCTCGGCTCAGCTCCGCACTCAGTGAGATTTAAGGGCTCAACAGTGCAAGCGACAGTTCTTACGTGAATGTAATAAATACAATCGGATGATTCTGAACTGTCAATTGATTGATACTAGTCCGGAAAAAAAAACTGAAACAGTAGCAAATGCACGTGTCTTGCTCCCAAGGATTATATGCTATTATAACAGGATAGATTACTTCCATGTACAAAGCACTTTAAAAATAACAGACTCCCGCTTCAGCTATTGCGCATGCGAGTTGACATCACCGTAGAAACTAAACATGTTTACATTTGTTGTTAGTTTAGAACTCCCTTGTTTTGTGTGTTTGAGATTTTAATTATTTTCCTGTTAAGAGATGAATACTAGGACATTTATTATCAATAGTGATTGATCCCCAAAAATTGTTTATAAAGTTGGCCATGACCAAGCAAGACAGAAGTAAGAGTCATATCCGTTACAAATATGAACGGCTCTGAATTAAATCCAAACTGACATATATAGGGTGATCCATTAGTGTGATGCACGACTGAGCCGGTCTACAGGATAATTTCGCATCAGGTAGTTGAGTAAAATAAGCTTAGTCCTCCGGTGGGTAGAGGGTGAATATATTTTAATTATTAAATACGTATATAGTATGTAATTATGTTTATTAAAATTAAATTACTAAAGTAATACACGAAAAAATTAAAATATTTATAATTTTGTTTTGGACATTGTTTATGGTAATACCATTTACCCCGAATACAATAAACGCTTTTTGGTCGGGAATTTCCCGGAAGTCCCCTTCTCAGGTATAAAATTAAGATAAAATGTTCTATTTTTGTACTGATGTTATAGGACTAATTGCGCTAAATTAATTAGTTCAGTTTTGGATTTCGAAGAGAACGTATGTCGAAACTGAAAATGCCGAAGCGCGTGTTACGTGTAGATGACTTAGTTTGTAATCTACATAAGTATTTTACGGCGGAAAAAGATAACGGAGGACCTTTAAAGCCAGTAGTGAGTGTGCATGAATGAACGCGTCTGTACAGCTCTGGGTATTAGTGATTCAACATTAAAATATGTTTTGAAAAACGTCAAAAGCGGAGAGAGCAAAAAAAAAGAAAAAATACACACCGCGCATAAAACTGAAAACGTCGGATATATCTGGTGGGACAAAATTTCGTATTCGTGATATGGTGTATGAAATGCGTGCGAAAAAGGAACATGTCAACTTAGACACATTGCTGGCTAACTTAAGAGAAATACAAATTGGTGAATTTGGCAGAACAAGTCTTTGGAAGTTGCTTAAGGAAATAGGTTTCAAATTTAAGAAAGAAGATAATACAAAAGCTTTATGTGAAAAAAATAATGTTGTTCACAAAAGAATACATTTTTAAGAGAATACACTCGTTTAAAAAAGAATGGAGCTTCGTTTATATATTTGCATGAAACCTGGATATTTTCCAAAGGTGGGACGAAAAGAATATGGCAATATGAAAATATAAAATCAATAAAACATACTAATGGTAAGGGAAAGCGACACATAATCTTGCACGCAGGTGGAAAGAATGGATTTGTGGATGGTGCAGGATTAATATTTTCCTCTAAATCAAAATCAGAAGACTATCACGATAACATGAACTCGGATATGTTTATCAAATGGTTAAATGAAAAACTATTACCAAATTTAAGTGAACCGTCTGTTATAGTGTTAGATAATGCAAGCTATCACACAGAACTTTTAAACAATCCGCCAAGACAAAATTGGACTGTAGCCAAAATACAAGAATGGCTACGTAACGAAAATGTTGCATTTCCACCATACGCCCTTAAATCTGAGTTGTTAACTTTAGCCAAACGGCATGAACCACCACAAATTTATATGGTAAATCAAGTCATACATAGTTATGGACATGATGTGATACGGCTTCCACCGTACCATTGTCAGTTTAACCCCATCGAACACATTTGGGGTATATGTAAAACGTATTATGACAATCATATTGGAATTAATGGTTACAACGACGAAGCAGTAAGGGAAATATGGAAACAATCATTAACCCCAGAAATTAGGCAAAAAAGTGATAAATTAATTGACGACTGGTGGACATGTGAAAACAGGATAAACGATATTAACCCTATAATTATATCCCTTAATGATGACAGCGACGCTAGTGACACAAATTTTGAGAGTGATGCTGAAGATTTATAGCTATGTCA